TTGTTTGAAGTCGCGTCATTAGATTAGCTATTATCTATTTGGCGGGAGTGTAGTAGAGCCGGAGGTTTTTATACAAACGCTCTATGATCATCCTTCTAACCTCTTTTTTGTTCTGTGCTACTTCCTTCCATATTGCTCTATGCTAACGAGTAAAGAAATGTAGAAAAAAGTTTAAGTGAAAAAAGTTAAATTAATTTAGAAATCAAAGTGTACACGGCTCACTAGTTTACAAATAAATAAATGCTTAACGAAACCTAAGCACACTAAACCATTAGGCGGCAAAAAAGAGATTTTCAGCCTTTTTTACTAGTTCTCAAACAGGTCTAATATATTTATTTATTTTTAAGCGTTTAACTGCTAGATGTTTAAATCTAAAGGAAAGTTTTACTAGAAAAAATCCACGCGGACCAGGCAGCGGACGGGACTCGAACCCGCACCCTTCGCAATCCGGGCGATTCACTGACCAATTATGCTAGCCCTGATGGCCGCGTCAAATGTTTAATTATTTATTATATTTAAATTTCAAATGTTTAATACTTGAAAAAGTATTCATTTGACATTGTGGGTTACCTACAATGCGAAGAGATGGCGCTGCCTTGCAGCTTAAGGCTAGGGAAATTTCGACGCGGCCATCAGGGCCGTGGTAGCATAATTGGTCAGTGCATTCGCCCGGATTGCGAAGGGTGCGGGTTCGAGTCTCTTATTTATCTTTGTTTGTCCCAATCTATCTTTGTTTCTTCTAATCTATCTTTATTTATTTAATATATTTAATACTAATATGTGTAATAAAATAAATAAATCAATGTCTGCGGAAAATATTTTATTAAGAAGAGAAATCTTTTCTATTTTTACGAAGATTGTAACATAAGAACTTTGGCTACTTACGAAAGTAACATTTACCAAAGAACCGCTGCAACTTCTCGCAATATAGCATTTTTCGCCTCAGTTATTAAAACACAGCTGTTGCCCAAGCTGTGTAGTTCTGTGATTTAACCGGAACTTTGTTAGGCACTTTACTAAGTGTATTTCTAGTTGTATATAATGTAATGCTAGCAAATAGGGTATTTGACAAATCTTAGAAAACGATCTCACGTTATTTACTAATGTTTATGGAGTCCATAGAAAGTGGATGTTTTGAATTCTGTTGTGTAATTCAGTAAAAAATAACTAAATTAAAATTCAATTTTCAAGTTGCCGCGAAAACGTTTCTCTGGACATTATGGCGTCTCACTAGTGTGTGACGTCACACACGTGGATGTTTTTCTAGTAATAATTTCTTTAGATTTAAACATCGAGCAGTTACACGCCTAAAAAGTTGAAAGGAAAATAGTTTTTGAGTTTTTGCTATTTAAATTGTTTCAAAGTTAAAAGCATATAAAAATTATTATTTTTCAAAGTAAATTGACATGCCTGACTCATTCAGTGACAATAATTTTGTAGATTCACTCAAGATGTCATAAAAACAAAGGGGAATGAACGAACTAAAGCGAATTTTTATCGTACTTGTTCTGTAAACACTACCCCTAGCACGAACCATTATCGAATTCGAATAGTTTGCAAACCGAAATGTCAATGTCAAATTTTGTATGGAAATTCGAAAATTAGCGCCATATCGTACGTAAAGAGAACTAAAAATCAGTACACATTTGACAATGACATTTCTTACTCGCAAACGATACGAATTCGATTTTGGTTCGTGCTAAGGGTACTGGACTTCCCAGTAGTACTGTTGAGTTGCGTTCGACCAACTAATACACAAGTAATTTTTTACTACCAAGCAAAGCAAGGGCAAATTGATAATTCCTAAAAAAAGCACAATTTCTCTAAAATGAAAATGAGAACTAAACGAAAAAAAAATTGCCAGTATTTCAGTAATTAATCACCATCCGCGGGACCATCAAAGCAAAAGGCCGCTCTTCAAATACCATCATTTTCTTTTTATCGCACGAAAATGATTTATAGAACAAAGTATTTATGGGTTTAGCGTCGCTTGGACAAACACAGTACGTGGGTGTTTAGCTGCCGATCTGGGTCATCTGAGCGGGTTGGCTGTGGCTCCGCGATTCGCTAGGTAGTAAATTTCGTATAATATAAGTGCACTCTGGTTATTATACAAGTAAATAATGTGTATAGTATTGTTGCAGTATCCTTCTAATATTGTAAAAATGTGAGAGATTGTATGTTTGTTAGTCAATCACGCCAAAAAACTGCTGAACGATTTGGATGAAATTTGATAAGCATATAGTTTTTTATTTTGAAATTATTTATTTCAAGTAACAAAGACTCATATTGACGACCTCCGTGGCCGAGTAGTTTGCACGCTGGGTTTCACGCCGGGTTACGTTCCCTAAAATATGGTTGGGCGAAGCGATGGCTGGTTCATGCGTCATGCTCGTGAACGGGGGCTGCCAGCGGAGATGAGTCTGCTCTGTACTGCTTTAATATTTAGATGTTATCTATTATATATACCTAATACTATTTGTGTTTATACTGTATGACACAGCAATCAAAATGTGAGTGGACGTTGTATTGGTAGCGACATGATTTTTATGGTAAATGTTGCTACTTCTATTAAACGCTGATGAGTTTCTCGCGCCCATTCTTCTCATCAGCTAAAATATGTGCTATGGGTGGTAGGAAAAAATATTAGGCAATTCAAAAGAACTTTCATTAAGTCAATTTGTACGAGTTACCGATCGTACATAGGTTTCTGTTTATGCGTACATAATTTTAAGGTTGTGCCGTCGCGTTTCGTAAGCTTGCGCGTGCAATTTGTACAATAATCATGTTTAATTACTTATATGAAATAAATGCAAGCAACTTGGCTGGATAGTGCCCACACGAACAAGGTAGACGTCGAACTTAATAAGGCCATGAGGTGCATCTCAGGAACAATTAAATCGATCCCAACACACTGGCTTCCCGTTCTGTGCAACATAGAGCCCCCAGCCACTCGCCGTAAACTGGCCCTTTCTAGAGAGGTGAGGAAGATCAAAGCCAACGCTGAACTACCTAAACCTTAAGAATTCCTAGACCGAAGCGAACTTAGACTCAAGTCCCGCAGACCACCATGCCATACGGCAGCCACCATACCAGAGGATGGTTTTGATGCGAAGACCCAATGGAAGAGTGACTGGAAGACAACGACGGAAGGAACACTTGCTGAAAAGTTCACCCCAGGAGTGAGGCCAGCAGGCTTTGATCTACCCAGGCGAGAGTGGTGCCTCCTGAACAGACTGCGGACGGGTCACGGTCTCTGTGCCCACTACAAACATCGATGCGGCTGGATCGACTCGCCCCGATGTGAATGCGGTGCCGACGTACAGACCATCCAACACATCGTACAGGAGTGTCCCCTTACCAAATACGATGGTGCGATGGAGGACCTGGTCTCCCTCGATAACGACGCTGCCAATTGGCTAAGACATTTAGATTTTAAACTCTGATTCCTGTGACAAGACAATGCCATACGAATAAATAAATATGAAATAAATCAGTGACAATTTAGCACTCTAACGGGACGGTTTTATTTATCATCACCCAATCGTTCTAACTTATCAATATCAATTATCATTTTCTATTAAATGTAAGAAGGCTTACGCATTAGCCATTACACAATTTGAATAAAGGATAATTTTATTTCATAAAGTTTCCATTATATAAGGGAAAAAATTAAAACAAGATATAAGAAAGCCTACTTAATCCATGAAAATACTAGTTGTTGACGACATGGTGTCGCCGCACACGGGCCACCGACCACAACCACAAAACGTCGCCACGGGCATATTTCTTGTAGTTTTCATACATTTTATATGGACTCGCCACACACGGTACGCCGGTGGCCGCCACACGCTACAAATCGTCGCTGCTCGCTTCTTGTGGCCCGCACCGGCCACTTAATGCGCCGATACAAAACACCGCCACACGTCACTCGCGCGATTCCCCACCCCTCGCTCCCTTACCTTAGTCGGCCGCTGTCGCGCGCTTCCGCCACTTTAATAGCCGCTTCTAGATTCTCGTGGCGGCGTTTGTGGCTGTGGCGTGTGGCCCGTGTGCGGCGACACATGGACCCAAAACAACCACGAGCGCGCTATATTTTATGAAGGTTTTTTATGAAATTTATTTGAGTTAAGTAAATATACTTTAAAAACTAATGCGCAATATAAACATAGAAAACAAAATTTACGAATATTTTAAACCAACTCGTTTTCAGAGAACTGTAACGCCCGTAGCGTTAGTGTAGCCGCACACGAGCCACACGCCACAGCCACAAACGCCGCCAGAGAAGCTAGAAGCGGCTACTAAAGTGGCTGAAGCGCCCAACAGCGGCTGACTAAGGCAAGGGAGAAAAGGGTGGAGGATCGCGCGAGTGACGTGTGGCGGGGTTTTGTATTGTGGCACCGGCCACTTAAGAAGTGGCCGGTGCCGGCCACAAGAAGCGAGCAACGACGATTTGTAGCGTGTGGCGGCCACCGGCGTATCGTGTGTGGCGAGTCCATATAAAATGTATGAAAACTACAAGAAATATGCCGGTGGCGGGGTTTTGAGGTTGTGGTCGGTGGTATGTGTGCGGCGACACTTACGGCTTCCTTGTGTGTATAAACTCTTTGCTTATGTAATGCCTACGGCTGGCAGGTGTATTAAAGGTAACTGCCATTATTTTAAAGATTCGAATGTAGGAATTTTCTGTCCCTCGAATTCAGGCACAGACTCGATCGGATGATTATATTTAACTGTATGTTTTCCTGAACTCAAATAAACCCAGTTAAGGATAATTAGAATTCTCATTTTAGTATTTTGAGCTACGTTCACCAGGTTATTCCTTCGGGAAAACCCTTCAGAACCTAGTTCTAAATCAAGAACTGAAAGTGCCTCGTTGGTAAATAGATAGTTGTTCCGAATTAATCATCTGTTGTGTTCCACCAAACAAGCGTAGAAATACACGTGTATGAAGTAAAAAGAGAAGTTAATGAGAGTGAACAATGTATCTTTCCACTCACTGGTCGTGTAGCCGAAGTCGTCCTCTTGCTCTGGGTCTGCCTCCTTCTCTTCTTTGCTGCGCTTGATGGCTCCTGCTGAGGCACGATCGATCTGTGCAGATGGAGAAACGGATTTTGTTATCCTATTTTATAGCTCAGTAGGCGATTGACTTTGGAAATGTTCATCATCAGTCTATTAATGTCCCCACTGCTGGGGTTGTGCCCCAGGCATCCGGCCTTTCCTATGGATGGCATAAGGAGATTGGGCCATGACCCACCACGCAGGTTTTAACGACTTTGGCGGGTGCTAACGACTGCCAATGCAGCCGGGACCAACGGCTTAACGTGCCTTCCGAAGCACGGAGGAACTCGAGATAGAAGATTTTTGGTCACCCATCCGATGACTGACCACTGCGAAAGTTGCTTAACTTCAACGATCGCAACCGAAAGCGCTAACCACCTGCGCCATCGAGCTCCTCACCTGATGTTAAGTGGTGGTAAAGTCCAGACGTGAAAATAGCTGATGCAGCAGTTATGAACTGCCAAACCAACCATCCTCACATTGCCGAAATTCTTCTTCACGACTTTTTAAAAAAAACCCAGATTGTAGGAAGGGGGGACACGTGCGCAGGCAGAGAATCCCACTTTCGAAGTATTGTGTCAAAGAATTTAGATACCACATTTCTTTGTTTGTGTCAGTATAATTTACTCTCGATTGCGCAGGAGGTCAGTGCGTTTGGTCTGCGACCGTCGAATTTAGGCAAATTCCCCAGTAGTTGGTCATTGGATGGACTACCAAAAAATGTACATCTCGAGCTTTCTCGTGTTTGCTGAGTGTCGCCTCACACGGGCCATACGCCACAGCCACAAACGCCGCCACGAGAAGCTAGAAGCGGCTACTAAAGTGGCTGAAGCGCGCGACAGCGGCCGACTAAGGTAAGGGAGAGAGGGGTGGGGAATCGCGCGAGTGACGTGTGGCGGCGTTTCGTATCGGCGCATTAAGTGGCCGGTGCGGGCCACAAGAAGCGAGCAACGACGATTTGTAGCGTGTGGCGGCCACCGGCGTACCGTGTGTGGCGAGTCCATATAAAACGTATGAAAACTACAAGAAATATGCCGGTGGCGGCGTTTTGTGGTTGTGGTTGGTGGCCCGTGTGACACTAAAACACTAGGCACATTAAACCACAGCAGTGACCACTTACTGGGTGGTCAACTGTAGATACAATAATAGCCTGATGGTGATTATGATGACATTGCCGCACTGCTCTTTACTCCTTCACGCCTCTTTGAAAGGATCCCAGATTGTAAGAGGATGTGCGGATAGCGCGACCCAGAATTGAGTCACCAAATCTCTTTGTTCCCGTTGTTTTATAATATACTTGGAGGATAATTACCTCTACTCCTTTGTCGGTGTAAGTTCTCCCACCAAGATCTCTCTCGTCTTCTTCGTCGCTGCTCTCGGAGTCCGAGTACACCGGCCTCGGAGGCGGTTCCTCTGGTGATTCGTCAGTCTCTTTCTCACTGCCTCCAGTTATCTCTTTCTCGTTCTCAAGATCTGGCTCGGAGACAGTAATCTGAGGAAAGGTATTGGCATTTGAAAAATATTCAATGCAATAAAATTAAGTTATCTCTTCGATATTGCAGAAATGTTTTCTTTAATTATATTCTTATTAAATTTGGATGGATTTTTAAAAATCTTTCAATGACCTGGGGGCCAATCGCCTAACCAGATTGCTTTGGAGAACGCTAGTGCTTACGATTTCATTTTGTTATTTCTAGCCACCTGGGGTTTTCAAATGCCTCGCGCACTTATTTTTTCTTTTGCATTGTTGATAACAATATTAAAAAAATGAGCGCGAGGTATTTGAAAACCTTCGGCGGACAGAAATAACAAAATGAAATCGTAAGTGATAGCTTTTTCCATAGCAATCCCGTTAGGCGAATGGCCCCCTGATAATGTTGATAATGCTGTTTTAAACTTTCATGGTCACTAACATTATAGCTATTAACGGGATTGTTACGATGTACCTTGTAAATATCGGAGACTCATGAAAAACAAGGTACATGGTAACAATCCCTTTAATAGCTATAATGTTGATTATGATTATATGAATACCCATAAATGAAGTATTAAACGTTTAGTTTTTTTATTACATACAATAATAATCTTTTCCAATCGAATCTCTGGATGAGCAGTGAATTGCTATTACCCATCCAGCCGACTCGTTTGATTATTTCTCTATTTAGTATCCTTTTATAGTACTTGTGAGAAAGCGAGTGGAATCAAGTTAATGGTGGTAAAGATATTGTTTGTTATGTACCTTGATCTCGTGTCTCGGTGTCCTATCAGGATTAGGGGAGGGCGTGTGAGTTTTCCTCACAGAGTGTGTGGGTGATATCGCTGGCGATGATGCGTCGACATCTGAAGAATCCGTGTTCTGAACAAAAGAAAATATTATTAATTTAATATTTATGTCATAACTCAATAAGGATCATTACTACGTCAGCAAATCAACAGTATATTGATACATACAGACCCAATAAGCTTTTTGATTAATATACTTTTTAATCATCGAAATCGGTTCATTCGTTTCAATTTTATAACTAGTTTTATGGTAGCCAATATTTACCGGCGGCCGAAACGTGTGACATCAAATAGCTCGATCGTTGGTTCACTCCGGTCGAACTTCAGTAGCGTCTCTACGCACGCTCGCTCCCAAGCGCTAGAGCTCTGTGACGTCACAGCTACCACGCGGCCAGCCAAAAATTCATTTAGTAATCTGGTCATAACTCCGTCAATATTTGCCGTTATTACAACAAAAAATTAACCACTGCATTTTATGGAAACCTTAGCTCTATATATATGCATTCTCAACTAAAATCGATTACTGATCCTCATTAGAGCTTGATTGAGCAGAGGTTCGTGTGTTCGATCAACAATTGTAGAAATTAATCAACTTTCGCATAAGCCAGTGGCAGGATGGATTACCAAAAATTTATATATAACTTACCACGTCCTCGCACAGGCCCTGCAAGAATACCAGCGCTGATACAGTGAAAGAATATTTTCTCATTGTATCAGCATAAGCTGAGGCAGGGTCCTGATTGGCCGTCTTAAATGTGGGGCACGGCCGCTGACATTGAAACAGTTTTTATTCTTCAAAAACGCGCTATAAGAGCTATTTATCGCTTGGGATCTCGAACTTCTCTAAGGGATAAACTTAAAGAAATAGGTATAATGACTGTTGCCTCTCAATACATTTACAATTGTATATTGTTTGTGCGTCAGAACATAAATTTATATACGAGGCGCGATGATGTACATAATTTCAATACCAGAAATAAATATAAACTCAAATTGCCACCGTTGAGACTCCAAAAGGTTCTTGGTTCATTTGTGGGTCAAGGCATATGTTACTATAATAAAATACCAAAAGAAATAATTAATTTACCTTTCAATAAGTTTAAAGTGTCTTTAAAAACATGTCTCCTTAAGAAAGGTTACTATACTGTTAAAGATTTCATAAATGATAAGTCACCTTGGGCTTAATATAACAGACTAAGTCGTTTTACTTTGCTGATTTGCTTGAAAATTGTTTAATCGCCACTTCTAAATTTAAAAGTAGTACCTAGCTATACTTAATTATTGTTAATTAATAATATTAATGTGATAGAAGTTGACATCAACACATGTTTTCAATTTTTGATGTCATCTTTCAATTGACGACACTGTTTGAAACAAAACAGGGAGAAAAAAATAGCCCTTGCTGAGTTTCTTGCCGGTTCTTCTCGGTACAAGGTCTCCCGCCGTAGATTTACGAACCGATGGCGTAGCGTTTGACTTTCACAAGAGCTTGTAACAGCCTAGACTGAATAAATGCGTTTGAGTTTGAGTTTGAAATCTAGTGATTAATTTTTGTTCTTAGGTTAAGTTTCTTTTTTATTTTATTTTTTTCTCTGTTTCTTATATACAAGATGGCCAATAAAGATTTTTCATTTCATTTAATTTCATTGCATATATCTCGAGCTAATCCTTTCATCGGAAGGCACGTTAAGCCAATGGTTCCTGTTCCATCTACAATCGTTATCAAATACCTATTCTCAATCCAAGGGATATAATAGTGTGTAAGTAATAATAAATAAATAAATAAATATTTCCAACACTCACACCAATTAGCCTAGCCCCAAAGTAAGCACTGTAAGGCTTGTGTTATGGGATGCCAGGTTAACGGATAAGAATACATATACTGTACATATATAAGTATATTTATATAGAAATACATATTAAACATCCATGACTGGAGTACAAATGCTCGTATTCATCACACAAACATCTGCCCCCCAACGGGATTCGAACCCGGGACCTCTCGAGTCGGCGACACCATGAAACCCGGCGTACAAACCACTCGGCCACGGAGGTCGTCAATCGTCGTCGTAATGGTGTGAGCATGGTTCTCATTCGTTGTAGACCGTTCGACTTGCGATAATGAAACAAAACTTTCTCAATTCTACATTCGAGCTATACTGTGCTCCGGAAAGCCCGCTAAGTCCAGTAGCCCAGTTGCATCTTCAGTCGTAAGCTTCCACCAATCTACGCTGGATCCACATTTGGTTGGTTATAGCCCGTGCTCCCTATTCAGTCTATAAAGAATAGCTACACCACCGCTTACATACTTCGTACATTTTTTCAAAATGCGAAGGCCCCTGCGAGACCTTCGTAAACTTCACGACATGATATTCTTAAATAAAGTTGTACACAACGGTCTCATTTGCGAAGATCTTTTATCACGCATTGCACATTAAGTGCAATGAAAAAAGATCATTGTCCCGCGATTTCCTATCACCAGACAATTTAAACGCCACACTGACGCACTAATATTGGTCTGTCCTCTCCAATAGTTAGAATGTGTAACGAGTACAACATCATCATCATCATCATCAGCCTATTAATGTCCCCACTGCTGGGGCACAGGCCTTCCCTATGGATGGAATAGGGAGATTGGGCCATGACCCACCACGCGGGCCCAGTGCGGATTGGTGGGTGTTAACGACTGCAAATGCAGCCGGGACCAACGGCTTAACGTGCCCTCCGAAGCACGGAGGAGCTCGAAATAGTAAATTTTTGGTCACCCATCCAATGACCGACCACTGCGAAAGTTGCTTAACTTCAACGATCGCAGCCGAACGCGCTAGCCACCTGCGCTATCGAGTACAACATGTTAAATGGTATTTCGGGCCACCTCGACATCATGCACGACTCCTTACGCTCTTTTAGATCTGGAGTGTTGAAATCACTTGCCAAATGAATTAATTTTAATTATACCCAACGTTCATTTTGGCTTAATTTGATTTTGCTTGACTGTATTCTTTTATTTTAATTTTGATTCTAATTTTGATTTTAATTTTGATTTTTAATTTTGATTTTTATTTGAATTATAAATTTGTTCTTTTACTATATGATTGTTATTGTTGGCGTTGATTAAGACAATTATAAATTTTGTACATGCCTTTAACAAGTGTGCACATCAGGTATTATTTGTGAATTTTGTATTTGTTTTTTGTATGTGTATGCTGTTGGCGTGGCTAATGAATAAATAAATAAATACATTGACCTCAGTAGTGCGGACGGTAATAGGCTGATGACTAGTGTTTCATACTCACCCAAGCTACAAGACTCTGCACAGTAAGCGTGACCTTGTCTCCAGCAGCTTTGATGAGCTGCACCGCGCGTTCGTGAGGAGCTGATCTCACGCACACGCCGTCAACTTCTAAAATTCGATCTCCAGTCTGCGGGAAGACGAGAGAATCGATTATCAGTAAAGGAATTATTTAAATCTAAAGAAAATATAACTAGAAAAAATTCCATGCGGACCAGGCAGCAGACGGGACTCGAACCCGCACCCTTCGCTATCCGGGCGAATGCACTGACCAATTATGCTACCGAGGCCCTGACGGCCGCGTCGAAATTCTTCTAGCCATTGTTAAGCTGCAAGGCAGCGCCATTTCTTCGCAATGTAGGCAACCCACAATCCCGGGTTCGAGTCCCGTCTGCTGCCTGGTCCGCGTGGAATTTTTTCTCGTTATATTTTCTTTAGATTTAAACATCAAGCAGTTACATGCTTAAAAAATAAAAATTATAAAGGAATTATTGTTAGGAATCAAGAGTTGTATGATACAACTGGTGATGAAAGGGAGATAAGCATCGCCATTTCACCGATGTGGATTTATATAACCACGATTACGAGTGCCTCCACCCAAAGGAGAAGCCTCGCTAAAATAACACTACTTTTTGGTGGTATTCTGCTTCTGTTGCTGAGTAAGTTCCAGGGCTCTACGCAGGTTGTGGTGTCAGCGGGTTATGTATTGATGGCTGTAGCGGTTGAAAGCGTGAAGTGAGAACCTTTAGCTTGTTCGTGCTGCGGATGGTATGTCAAGCCATTATACCAGGTTGCATCTGCTGTCGTTAGCACCCACCAGCCCGCACAGGTTTGACCATGGACCTCTCTTATATTATCTTATACTAGCAAACCAGTGAACCAAATGTTCACCAAAACCTGATTTCTCGAAAACCGGAAGTGCTACGTTACTCAAATCCGGTTTGTAGTCTTATTAGACTATTCTCAACTTATAACTTAAATATTCTCTTTATCTATCTCTTACGGTTTGGCCGCTGAAACAGCACCACAGACAGACGGACGGACTTGTCTAATAGATAAGAGATTATTATTAGCAATCATCATCAACCCATGCTCGTCCACTGCTGGACATAAGTCTTCCCTAATGCACGCCACTGCTCCCGATTTTGTGCTACTCTCATCTAGCCCACTCCAGCCAGCCTACGAATATCATCATCCCATCTTGTCTCAGGGCGTCCCACACTACGTTTACCGAGTCGCGGTCTCCACTCAAGGACTTTCCGGCTCCAACGGCCATCAGTTCTGCGGCTAATGTGACCAGCCCACAGCCACTTCAGTTTGCTAATTCGGTGGGCTATGTCGGTGACTTTGGTTCTCTGTCGGATTACATCATTCCTGATGCAGTCCTTCAGGGATACTCCGAGCATATTATCAGCAATAGGGACAAGAATAGACTAATTCTGATAATGCTGCTAATTATGTATATGTACGGTTCTTCTTTACAAATTCTTTCCTTCTTATTAACATTCTTGAGTTACATGTTACATGAAGCATTTTGATTTACGTACTGCACAAAACTGACCTGTAATTCTCCACAGCTGCCAGCCGGACTGCCGGGCACCACGTTCTTGATGAAGATGCCGAAGATGACTTTTTCTTCACCATCGTCGCCGTCTCTATTTGAAATTATATCAACCTGGGAGCAAAACGTTACCATGAATATTTTTGACTTAAATCCATAGAACATAAATATACTCTACTAGAAAATAATAAGAGGAAGTAAATCAAACAAAGAACAATGGGCAAAACACACCCAGCTCCGCCAACAGTGTAATTAGTATGAATCGATAGATCTATGAAAAACTAGCCTTTTTTATAATGATACCGTAAAATAATATCCTGGGAGTCAAAAGATATGGCACCGTAAAAAATAGCCAAAAGATATGACACATGGGCATATTTAAGTAGCTAAATAAATTCATTTTATAGTACTTTCATTTTATATTATTAGTAATCATAATAATATGCCATATCGTACTATACAACCAGATATACGAAAAGCCGCCGCTCATCCTGCGCTTGCTCTTACTGAGATACCTCAAAATGGTTTACGGGGGTTGAAGGACTTGCAGTTGCAAATAGTCGACTCGTCTTACTTCGTTGTAATTGCGCGCTCCCTGCCACTTGATTGTTTTTTATTTAACACGCTTTGGATATTGGAACACGATTATCGGTTTTGTCAATTAGTATGGATGAACTGGAATTATGTGTTCTCCGAAGCGTGGACAAGTTTGTGTGATCTGTGGTCGCTCCCTTTTACATAGAAGACAATTTACTATACCGAACAGAATGTTTGAAAAAACCCCCAACCCATGCGGGGATTCTTGGATTTACTCTAGCGTGGCAGAATAATATAAGGGGGCACCCTTGCACCTTGTGAAGTACTCCCATAATACCTGAGCCGTTCGTTATAGTACTTGAACCTATTTAACTTAAAATAACTAAAGACCCCCGGGATGGAATTTGATGCGCTTTGGCACAGATGACCTTGACTATAATACCTTTCAAACAAATGTAGTTTAAGCCGTGGCGGACGTGGGTGCCGCGTCCATATCGACCTATGCATAGAATAAAGTTACATATGAAAATGTTATCAAATTACTTTTATTATACTTTTAGGCGAAACGGACGCATATATTTTACTGGTAAAAACATTTATTCTAAAACTTATATAACTTCGAAGATAGCAACTGAATAAAGGTACATGTAATTTATGTTTCCGAAGAATATAGAGTCAAGAGCACTAGAACCTTTTGGATAGGCAAGAAAGTAGCCTGCACGGCTTCAATTTTGTTACAAACTGAGACTTTTTACTAAATTTTTGATTCTATTTTTCTTATTTGCCATATTATCATAATTTGACGGGACAGGACATATAAATTTTTTAACACAAAGTTATATCTTTACATAATATTGACACGTTTCCCAAGCATAAGGTCTGATATGCGTAAATAACATAAAGATGTCCATAGTAAATTGTCACATAATCACATAAGATACGCTTAAATAACAGAATAGGAGCCGTAAATGTGTAATATGCTTCTCAATGATTTATATGATTGGTAAAAAAAAATGCTAGAAAAATACCAATACAAGTTAAAGCAAATTTTACATACTACAAACTTCAAATCGCTCTACTGTAAAGTAGGGATTATGCAGAAGTAGTTTTATTCTATGGATAGGTCGATATATTTTTACCGAATGTCCTTTACGACTAAAACTATATTTCTCTATGACGGTTGAGCAGTGCGATAGTGCAATGGCTAGCACGTCGGTAATTAAATTGTGGAAGCTAAGCAACTATTGCAGTGCCTGATCATATGTAAGACCACAAAAAAAAACATATAATTTTTTTGTAAATTGTCTAAATTGTAGATTACATTTTATAAGGAAAAAAGAAAAAATAATCAGAAGTACAATACACAGATTACTAAGATTGTCTCTGAATGGCAATGTCAGTCGGGGCCGCGTTCGGAACCTGTGCTCCGGGTGCAACCAATTTTGACATGGCGATAGTGGCGCCCCCCTGAACTCACATTGTTGTTGTTTATTACTTGTTAATGTTATTGTTTCGTGTCGTCACTAAACCGGTTCCAACGGAAGACCAGCGCTGATGGCAACATCAGCACATGCTGAGTTGGGACCGATTTGAGACAAAAAAAAAATATGTGTGTTTTGTTCTGTTTGTTGTGTGTGTGTTGTCTCAAATAAATTTATTTTTCTTTCTTTCTTTCTTTCTTTCTTTCTTTCTTTCTTTCTTTCTTTCTTTCTTTCTTTCTTTCTTTCTTTCTTTCTTTCTTTCTTTCTTTCTTTCTTTCTTTCTTTCATATCACAACCTCCACTGTGCTTTGGAAGATGTCCTAAGCCGTTGTTCCCGGCAGTATTTACTTGTGTGAGCCAGCGTGTTGTCATGACTTAACGGTATCCACAGATTTGTGTTTGTGTCTACTGCTATGTTTTACCTTTCCTCCAACTATGCTGACCCCTAGCGGAGCCCCGGGGCTCCTGGTGAGCAAGACCTTGCGGGGCGCGCCCCACCGCTGCGCCACCTCGCGGCGCTCCGGGGACACTGTCACCGTCATAGCTGGCACAGGCACGTAGCTGAAACATGACACTTTACGTGAATCAGGGGTAAATCAAGCAAGAGGGGTAGGAATAGCCCTCATAACGTGGTCCTCTTCAAGAGAGACTTAAAGGGAGCGTTACACGAAAGACAGCGGCTTGGCTATGTCACTGGCATTGCTAATGTCCATAGGCGCATCTGAGAAGCTCGATGGCGCGGGTGGTAAGCGTGTTCGGCTGCGATCGTTGAAGTTAAGCATCATTCGCAGTGGTCGGTCCTTGGATGGGTGACCATAAACCTTCTATCTCGAGTTCCTCCGTACTTCGGAAGGCACGTTAAGTCGTTGATCCCGGTTGTATCTGCAGTCGTTAGCAACCGCCAACCCGCACTGGGAAGCGTGGTGGGTCATGGCCCAATCTCCGTATTCCATCCATAGGGCAGGCATGTGCCCCTGCAGAAAGGACATTAATAGGCTGATGATGATGGGCGCATTGACCATTTAGCAAGGTGGCCCTTAGGCCACTTAGGCCCTTAGGCTCTGCCTTCGAAGGCAATAAAAAAAACCAATAAGTGCACCCGTCTAGGAAAGTTCTTTAACCTTTTTTATGTTCAAAGGGTAGCAAACAAACGTATTGTCCGCCTGATGGTAAGCGGCCACCATAGCCCAGGGACGCTTGCGATACCATAAATATCACTCGAACCATTGCCTACCCTGACCCAAATCCCTACCCCGTGACGACCTGAAACCTAACTCTCCGAAAAAAGCACAGCACAACACTAAAAGTGTTATTTTACTGTGATCTTACACCTTACCACCTTATAGAAGACCGCACTAAAACCAGTCCATATTAAAATCCATCCTACGTATATTATTAACGCGAAAGTGTGTCTATCTGTGACCTCTTCACTCAAACCGCAATTAGTTAAAGACATAGTTTAAGTCCCAGGGAAGGACAAAGGATAGCTTTTATCCAAGAAATTATCCATTAAGGGGATGGAATAGGGGATGGAAGTTTCTATAAGAAACCATTTTTTCCACGCCAACGCAAATTTTTAATAATGACAGATGCAAAAAGAAAACACAAATTGGTTTAATATTTAATTGCATATGACATCCGTTATAGTTCACCCTATTTGATTTTCTTATTTGAGGTCGTTACTTAGACTACAGTTTTTAACAATGTATTTAGAACTTGCCGCAAAAAACGCTGCCGGAAACATATATTTTCTTATTATTGTATAGTGGGCGGGACACGTGGCAAGAAGAACCGGTGGCCGGCTTGCCCAGGTCCCCTACAAGGTGAACCGACGATCTTGTGAAGGACGCGGGCTTGCGCTAAAAACCCGATACCGTTCGCCTAGTCAGGAATAGGCTGAGACTGGTGAGGGGGACTATCACCGGAAATTGCTCACTGAACAAACACTTTCACGCTTTGGGTATCACTCATAGTTCTCTACGTAGAACAAGCATGGAGGCCAAAAAGATGTTGGCACATGTGCTCCTTGAGTGCACAGGTCGTCCAGATCCGCAGAGATACTCCCGGTACACCGGCCCTCGGTATGCCCTGAGAAGACTGGAAAGACTGATCTGCTTCTGGAGGAAAGTGTGCTAGTCAATGTAATGCCTCTATGGCTCACGTACAATGGTCCACTTTGGGACTAAGTGCGGAAATTATATCCTCTAGCATAGAACAAAGAACCCACTAATGTTAAAATATGAACCATTAAATTGTTTATATGTTTCGAACTAGCAATGTACTCAATGCTTGTAGTCTTCTTTATACTGTTATAACTGACTGCTGACTCATTTCTTTGTCGCATTATCCGTAAATGGAATGTTCTGCCCGCTCACGTGTTCCCTCCTTCTTACAATCTTTAAAAGAAACATAAAGAAGCAACATGCAGGCCGGCAACTGAAGATGGCTGGTGTGGCATGTAGAACTGCTGTATTAGCTATCTTTGAGTCTGGTCTTCACCGTCACTTAACATCAGGTGGAGCGGATTTGTCGGGCCTACCTATAAGAAAAAACTTATATTTACGTAAATAATTCGACGAAGTTTACGAAACATCGAGTATATATAGCACAACATTTGAGGTTTGTCACTACTGGCACCAAATTGTTTTTTTTTTTTCATTTATCCCCAGTGGGGACGAAGCCAATGGAAATAACCGATTTAAGAGTACAGCTCCAGACTTTGGTATGTTCATAATTATATTTCAGTCATTTCATTCTTCAGATATAACCATACAATGTAGTTTCTTAGTCCTTTTATCGTACAGGCAACATTACGCACATTTTTAGAGAAGGTACTTCGATTTTTATTTGCGAAATACCCACCGAGCCTAGGCGGTCGGTGCATTCCGGTGAACTTTCATTCTTTTCTCGTGCGCGGCAACTAGCACATAGCTCTCAACAAAAGTTACAATATTTCTAGGTATTTTAAATTCATCATGCCTAAGCGTAAGGCTGATAAGATTGAATATTATAAAAACAAAATCAAAAAGTTGCAAAATAAGTCTCAAAATAGATACCGTCGTGTCATTGAGTATTCATCGTCTTCTTCGTCGGACTCTGAAGTAAATCAAGGTAAACACAATAAAGTTAAAGTTACTTATGTGCAGTTTTAAAGATTTACCTACATACTAAGGTACTGTAATTTATAAATTAAATACATCGCTTAGTTTGTACGAAGCCATAATGACAAACACGATGTTATAATTATGTATAAAAGTGCTTTAATGTTAGTTGTGAATAAAGGACAATATGTTAACCACATCCATAAGCTTATTGCTTCGTATTTATTACGAAGATTAAGCGTGATGATTTAAAACCTCATAAGTTGAGAATATTTCAACGCGAGGGTATGATTATAAAAATCATATTAACTTAGGATATACTTATAATTTATTGCAAGTAGTAATATTTTTTCAAACGTAATCAGAGAAGATAAATTTAAATTTATATTTTTAATATATACCAAAAAAAAAAAAATAGAAAACTAGCTATCAATATTATAGCCTATATTCTATTATTGTAGATGTCGGAACGTCACAAAATGAAGTAATGAATAACACTACCCATACGGTAATCGACGAGCGTACGGAGGAAATTGCGGAGGTGCTCACATCCGAAGTACATCCTTCTGAGCACCCATCGGAGGTCCCAGAACTAGACGCGGATCTCTTACTCGCTCTGGGGGACGCTACTGACGAGCAACCCGGTTTTGGAGAAAATATTCATCAATCCCTTGCCCAACGATGGCTCCCCATTTTGAAAAAAGGGTTAGCAAAAGAGGTCAAAGAAAAACTTCTCAAAGAATATTTAATACCGGAAAATTGTAAGTTACTTAAAGCCCCGACATTAAATGCCGAGATTTCGGCAGCAGTTGCGGATGTTGTCCGAAACCGGGACAAGAACATATTAATAAAATAAGACCAGCTTGGACAAGGTATTGCTGCTATCAGTAAAGCGATTACTTTGCTTCTCTTAGGAGATGACAAAGTACAAGCTATTAAGGTGCTCACAGATGGATGTCGAATTCTCACGGATTTACATTATGATGAGACACAAGTTAGAACCAAACTTATTACACCTCGTCTAGAGAAGTCTTTCTTGTCACTCATACAAAACCAAGAAAGGGATGACACACTTTTCGGAAATAATTTGCCCGAAAAAATTAAGGCCTCAAAGGCTATCGAAAAGCAGGGCCAACAAATAAAGAAATCTATTGCATCTTTTAAGCCAACCACTACGAAATCTACATCAAGACCCCAGTACCAGGGAAACTGGATGGACCCCCCTCGCTACACATCATCGAGCAGAGGGGGGCGGATGGCGGGCTCAGCAGCCACGTCGGTACCGTACTTCCGCCTACCACCGCCGATGATGACACAGGCGCGCCCTTCGACTTCCAGGGGCCGACCACGTGCGACCAAACAATAACACAGGTACACGCGGGCAGACTCCAGTATTTTTATAAATGTTGGCAAACTATTTCTAATAATAGGCTAATATTGAAATGGATACGTGACGGTTACACGATACAACTTTTACAAAAAGTAACACAAAATATAATACCCTCTAACAATTTTTCAATTGCGGAAAAATACGATATGATGTTAGCAATACAGAATCTTTTAAATTTAGGAGCCATTTCAGAATGCAAACCTCACAAAAACCAATTTATATCTACTATTTTTTTTGACCCCTAAATCTAACGGTGGTAAGCGATTTATACTGAATTTGAAACCCTTTAATAGGTTCATTGAAAAGAAACATTTTAAAATGGAGGATTTTAGAACTGCTTCAAAAATTATTGAACAAAATTGTTTTATGGCTACCATAGATTTAAAAGAGTCTTATCTATTAATTCCAATTAATCATTTACAGCGAAAATTACTAAGATTCCAATTTGAAAATGACGTTAGAGGTAATATATTGTACGAATTTAATGCAATTCCATATGGGTTGTCTTCCGCACCCAGAATTTTCACTAAAATTATGAAAGAAGTGATTTCCCATCTCAGGAGGCGCGGATTTTTATCTGTAATATATTTGGATGACATTTTGTGCATTGGTTCTACTTATGAAAATTGTTTAATAAATGTCCAAGAAACTTTGAAATTATTAAAATGCTTAGGATTTGTTATTAATTTTGAAAAAAGCATCATAGTACCTAATAGGGAACGTACATTTCTGGGTTTTGTTTATAATTCCATAAAAATGACTATGTCTTTACCTAACGAAAAGCGTAATAACATTGCGCTTCTTGCAAAGAAGTATTCTAGCCTACCACTTTGTACAATAAGGGAATTTGCACACTTCATTGGCTCCCTGACCGCAGCTTGTCCAGCAATAAGATATGGTTGGTTATACACCAAACGTTTTGAGAGACAAAAATTTCTTGCACTTAAAAAGTTACGAAATTATGACGCTAAATTTCGGCCATCCGCTGATATTTTACCCGATTTACAATGGTGGGCTATAAACGTTTTAACATCGGAAACTCCAATTAAGTCTGTAACATACGATATGGA